AAATGTTTAATACTTTACTGGTCCTTACTATTCAAATAATATTGGACCCTCAGCATACACTGTTTTACATCCTACTTACCTCTGGACACTCCCCTACATACTACTTACGTGGACAGGTTATTCTGCCTTCATGATGACCTCCAACATCAGATTTGTGGGGTGACCAATTATCCCCCAGAAATGAAACTAATTCTAAATGAAAGTGAATGCTAATTTTTTCTTGTTTTCACCGAAAACCGTTTTAAATCCAAGCCAAAAACGTAATATATACCAATCCTTAGATGTTGTGGCTGCACTCGTTTTTTTTTTCCTCCCCCCCCCGTTTTCACCTGGTGATCTGGCCAGTAACACACCTCCTGTACTAGTGTCACCACTCTGGATGAAGGAGCACAGGGTACAAAGCAGACAGTAGCATTGTCTTGTGGGAAGGGGAGTGTACTAGCAGATTTAAATACACCAAAAAATTTGAAGCCAAACTCCAGCTCACACTTTATAATAAGTTACAGCAAACCATTTTTTCCTTTTTGAGATAAAGGTTTTACTTGTATAAATAAAAGATGATTATTGTAAGAAACGTCTAGTGTTAAATGATTTGTCATATCGCTGTAAACTTATAAGTCTGAAAGAGCGCTTGTTCTTTCAAAAAGCAACAGACTTAGTGGCTGGCTGAATCACCAGATGAAATTAGAAGAAAGGCTAAAAAAAGAAAATGAACGCAGCAACCACATCTAAGAATTGATAAGCTGCAATATAATGTATGCTTTTGGGTTCAATACTGCATGAAGTTAACTTTTAAGGTAGGACCTAATACAGGCCATAGAAGGTTCGTTTATTGGCCGATTTTTCATCTGAAAGAATAATCGGTCGATTATTCCGTTAGTGGGGCAATGTCATCGGCCGATTTTCGCAGTTCCTCCTCATTTCTTTTATCGGTCATGCTGGAAAATTTGCGAAAACCGACGATTTGCACAATCATTGGTGGCAACAGAGTGACCGATGTTTTGTTTTTTGGCCAAAAACCGTCTATGGCCTGCATAAGTTTATACTTTTTACAGTGACGCTTGTTTTATTATCTTTTTCTAGTTTTTTTGTTCTTGATGTCCTTACTATTTATTAGGACCTTGCTGCTTAATTCCCTTTAAAAAAAAAAAAAAAAAAAAAAGCTCCTTGGCTGTTGGTACCCACCTCACTGAGCTACTAGGACCCTTCTGCTACTACTGCTCTGCTCCCCATGGTACAGGTTACTTCATACCTCAATGGTGGCTCATCTAATCATACACCTTTTTATGTGTAATGCTTCAATTTCCTGCAAAGTTTGCAGGGGGTGGCTGCAGGAGGAGATTATCTCTCAACAGGTGGCTCCCTCTTTCACCTCCTTTTTAGAAAAATAATGGCGATTCAGCTCAAGAACAGGTTCTTTGGGATGCATGCAAAGCTGCCATGAGGGGTGAATACATTTCTGAATCAAAGGTCAGTTCTAACAGAACTCTGCAGGAATTGCAGGATGAGGAGCGTAGGTGCGAGCACACTCATGCCTCTTCCCAGTCTCATGGTACCTATGTATCTCTGTTCGAAGCCAGACGTTGACCTAATTTACATGTGTCTGGACTTCTGTATGAGCAGGGCTGGGTCACTTTTTGTGCAGGGAGGAAAAAAAAAGGGTAATTTGCCATTGGCAAAAATGGTAAATTACCTTGGCTATCCACTGTAGGTCTGCCTATTGGGTTAGATAGAAGCAAAAACGTTAGCTCACAGAACAATGAGTATTTTGCTTTTCTATGCCCATAAAGCTTTAATCCTACATTGGAAAAAGCCCTTGGGCCCCTCCCTACTAGCCTGGAAGGGACTAGTGAACACTGCGCTCCCATTTTACAAGGCCATGTAGTTAATTCGAGGCTGACCACCTAAGTTTGAGAAGGTTTGGGGCTGTTGGACCTTCTCAATGGAGACAAATGTTTGGCCCCACATGGGTGTCTGATAGGGATGGGTGCAGTATGGATGGAGTTGGTGTTTAAGTGGGTAATTGGCCCACAGGCTGCTATCTGTTTTCTCTTTGTATACATAGACTGCTCTAAAGGCCTCTGATATTAGGATGGTTCGTTTTCTCCACCTGGGGTAGCTAGCCAATGCGGGATCCAAATTTGGTTTCAGTATTAATGTTCTGAACATCTTTGTACTGTTTGCTCGGTTATTATATCTGTGTGGAATGTTTATAGGTAGGGGACAACTAGCTCAAGGAGAGGGGCAGGGGGATGGGAGGGGTTTTCGATGGGGACTGAGTGGTCCTGCATGACCAGTGCCCTGCTACCCTCCTTTTTTCTTCGTCTGTTTTTTGAAGTACTGTTTTGTACTTGGTCGGTTGCTTTTTGTATTGTACTGCTTTATAAACAAAACTCAATAAACAGAATTAAAAAAAAAAAGTTGCCAAACCCCAGTGATCTTTGATCTCTTCCATGTTGATCAGGTAGACCTCCACCTCCCAAAGGTTTCCTACCCTGCTCTATAACATGCACAGTAAGCAACTTCTACTTACCTTCTATCTTCGTGTTTACCCAGAGGTGACATTTGCTGTACAAGAGTACTAAGAAATAACCAGTATTTTCAAATATGGGGTAAAAACACATGGGGCTCCCACCTGACTCCCACAGTACAACCCCTGATGCCTGACTGGCCAATCACTAAGCACAAATGTTCTCACTTGAGGACTTGGGAACACGTACATAACACTGTGAGTTATAGGGCACCCTTTAAAGTTACTTTGCTTACTATGGGTAACGTACAAGTTCACCTTAATTTTAAATAGGTGACACATTTTGGAAAATAAATGTAAGATTGAAATTGATTTGCTGTGACGCATCCAGAGAGCGTTCTGCCATGGAAGTCATTCCTGTCGGTGCAGGTAAAGCATGTCGAAGAATAGCAGAACTTTGTGCCAGAATCTCTCTTTGCTTGTTTTGTCTTTGCTGAGAACTGTGTAATATATTCTGTGCCCGAGGCAGCTGGAGGACCAAAAGGCAGAGCTACCATTTTTAGTTTTAGATGGGCTCTTCCCCTAGAATGCTGGTTATTTACCTAAATATATAAAAATGGAGCTCACCTGCAGCAATGGGACTGGAAACAATTGACCTTACAGTTATGTATAATCAAATGGCGCTTTTTGATAAATCTCTCCTGTTTGTCCTCCCCCTTTTTTTTTTTTTTCTCTTTTTTTTTTTTTATGCGTGCTGTTGAGTATTTTACATACTTCTTTAGGAATTCCTCTTCTACTCAGTGTAAGTGTGAAAAATAAAATAAAACAGTACCTTATTCTTACAGTATTATTTTCCCTTTAAAGATATTCTACTCGCATTCAACAATATCCAACCATGCCTTTTAATTGATATTTTTCACCCCTGAGGAAGTCCATATGATTGACGATGAAATGTGTAGGGACGGGGCTTATCTAAAGAAGCTGGAATATTATACAGAGGCGAAGGATTGATCTAAGCCTGTGTATTCCAATTTGTGAGCACTTTACTGGTGTTGATATATATGGTTGAAGACAATGATTTTATGGTATTAAATGTGAGTTTGTATTTGGCAAATCGTGAAAATACGTTTATTTTTTTTTTTTTTTAGGGATAAAGCACTATTGCACTTTTTTTTTTTTTTTTTTTTTTTTTTGCATGTGGCTGAATGGAAGAGTGAGATGGAGAGTATCTGGAGGATTGAATACAGCTTTCTGATTATTGAATGGAATGCTGTATACATTGTCCAGGTGAGGGGGGACACCTGATGGAGGGGGGGAAAAATCATAAATATCTGGTCCTTGATACATGATACTAAATACATGTGTAATATTTTGCTCATGAGCAAAGTTTAGGTGTTTTGATTTTGGTTTGGGCTAAGACTTGTATTTTTCTCTGTATGATGACGGAGTGGATTAAGGAGTGGAAGAGGATTTAAAGGGACAGTACCACCATGTTATTGGTCCTTTGGAATAACCAGCAAGGAAGATATTTAAAAGCTGGCAAAGAAGGAAGTCAGGTGAGGGCACATCCGGTGAAGTTGGCACGTGTGGTGAACATTTTAAAATATAATTAAAAGTACAGTTAGATATTGTTTAATGTGAGAATCTTTAGAGGGAAGAGAATACTGTAAGGACAAGGCACTATATTTCATTTCTCACATGCACAGGAAAGAGGAATTCTTAAAGGAGTATCTAAAATACGCACAATGGCATGCATATAAAAAAAGGAAAAAACAGGTGTGATTAATCAAAAATCTCTGTAGCTCTATAACTGTAAGGTCAATTGTTTAAGGTGAGCATACATCTTGATCTTTGACAACATCACAAAAGAAGGAAATCACACAAACACACAAAAGGTTGAAAGAGAGGCATTTATTATTGGAGCACAAGAGAACAGAGACCCTTTTTTTTTTTTTTTTTTTTTTTTTTTTTTTTTTTACATTTTACTATTTAATATTATTACTCACCTTTTACCAGTGCTGCACTACTTTTTGTATCTCTGGTATTGGTACACATTTGTATGAGTGTGTGTTTGGGTGCTGGCAGGTTATTCACAATTTAAACCCATAGCAGCTCGCAAGACACATACTATTTTGGTTGATTGAATGAGGTTCAGCTTTAGGAATGTACAAATATTCAAATGTCTATGACTACATGTTCACATGTTCAAGCTTCGTTTGCAACCTAGTTACTAATATGTCGGAGAAATCTTCATTTCATAGGAAGAGGCAGTGGTACGCTTTTCATGCTTCCAGGCCATAGATAACTGCTGTATATGCTGGTGGGAAATTGTGTGGCACTTGGAGTGTGCAGGACACTTGGCAACTATGGAGTAATGTTTTGACCTTAATATCTAGATGCAGGCGTTATTCATGGCTCCATAGTAATTCAAAATATACCGTATTTTTCGCTCCATAAGACGCACTTTTTTACCCCCAAAAAAAGGGGGGGGGGAAATGTCAGTGCGTCATGGAGCGGCCGGTCCGGTATTTCCACCGCCGCCGTGTCAGAATACTGGGCCGGGCCGCTCAGCTCTGCAGCGGGACCTTACCTGTTCCTCGGCACACCGCTGCGCAGTCTTACCGCGCCGGCTTCTTTAGTGTGGGCTGTCACCTGGGTGCCCACACTAAAGGGAGGACAACTCCGCAGAACTGGGAGCGGGTACCTGTCAAATTCAGATACCCCCCTCCCTCCCTAAAGGTCAGCAGTCATCTCCTGTACTGTCCGCAGTCTCTGGTCATCTCCTGTACTGTCCGCAGTCTCTGGTCATCTCCTGTACTGTCCGCAGTCTCTGGTCATGTCCGTCAGTACTGTCCGCAGTCTCTGGTCATCTCCTGTACTGTCCGCAGTCTCTGGTCATCTCCTGTACTGTCCGCAGCTGTACTGTGTCCGCAGTTCTCTGGTCATCTCTTGTACTGTGTCCGCAGTCTCTGGTCATCTCCTGTACTATGTCCGCAGTCTCTGGTCATCTCCTGTACTGTGTCCGCAGTCTCTCTGGTCATCTCCTGTACTGTGTCCGCAGTCTCTGGTCATCTTCTGTACTGTGTCCGCAGTCTCTGGTCATCTTCTGTACTGTGTCCGCAGTCTCTGGTCATCTCCTGTACTGTGTCCGCAGTCTCTGGTCATCTCCTGTACTGTGTCCGCAGTCTCTGGTCATCTCCTGTACTGTGCCCGCAGTCTCTGGGCATCTCCTGTACTGTGTCCGCAGTCTATGGTCATCTCCTGTACTGTGTCCGCAGTCTCTGGTCATCTCCTGTACTGTGTCCGCAGTCTCTGGTCATCTCCTGTACTGTGTCCGCAGTCTCTGGGTCATCTCCTGTACTGTGTCCGCAGTCTCTGGTCATCTCCTGTACTGTGTCCGCAGTCTCTGGTCATCCCCTGTACTGTGTCCGCAGTCTCTGGTCATCTCCTGTACTGTGTCGCGCATCTCTGGTCATCTCCTGTACTGTGTCCGCAGTCTCTGGTCATCTTCTGTACTGTGTCCGCAGTCTCCTGTACTGGTCCGCATCTCCTGTACTGTGTCCGCAGTCTCTGGGCATCTCCTGTACTGTGTCCGCAGTCTCTGGGCATCTCCTGTACTGTGTCCGCAGTCTCTGGGCATCTCCTGTACTGTGTCCGCAGTCTCTGGGCATCTCCTGTACTGTGTCCGCAGTCTCTGGGCATCTCCTGTACTGTGTCCGCAGTCTCTGGGCATCTCCTGTACTGTGTCCGCAGTCTCTGGGCATCTCCTGTACTGTGTCTCTGGGCAGTCTACTGTGTCCGGTCTCTGGGCATCTCCTGTACTGTGTCTGCAGTCTCTGGGCATCTCCTCTACTGTGTCTGCAGTCCATTGGTTCGGAAATATTTTTTTTTCTTTTTCTGCCTCTAAAACCTAGGTGCATCTTATGGTCAGGTGCGTCTTATGGAGCGAAAAATACGGTATTTCCCCTGTCCTTCCCTCTCTCCCTCAACATTTGGTTGCCTTTTTTTCCTTATTTAAAAATACCGTTTCCTGTTTGTTTGTTTTTTGTTTTGTTTTTTTTTTTTTTTTCCTTTGTTTCATTTTTCAACCTCCATGTTCTTTACCTGTCTGAAGAAATTAACTGACCTGCCAGGTTTCTTGTTCCTGAATGTCCAGGCTCACCTGCAACAGAGATTCAGACATTTATGACCTAATCCGGAAAAGCACATTAATTAACTGTCTGCTCAGATGACACTCTCCCTGACGGGAAGCTGCTTGGCAGGGGCCAGTGGTCTGTTCTAAGGTCAAATTAGCATCTTTGCCGCGATTTGTGGCATTTCTGTTTGTTGCGGTTTGTCCGGATTTGGCATGAATACATCCAGTTGATGTATAAATAGTGTAGCTGAAGAAAAAAAAATCTGTGTACAGTTTCGTAACTGTATAGTAAAAAAAAGTGTTTCTTACTTAAAGGTACACCCCCAGCCATGCACAAGCTTGTCATAATACTGACAGTTTTTCACCCTGGTATTGTCTGAGTATACCCAGCAAGTCATGTGTTTGTCAGTAAAGAGGTGTCATGGGGACATCTAGTATGAAACCTATAATTCTGTAGGTGAAGGATCCCCAGCTCCACCCACATAGATTGGACAGTTTGCTTCTGAAAATTTTTGATCCTTTAGAAATTTTATTCTGACATTACATACAGGGAAAATGTGTTCACAAAAAGCAAAAATGCAGCAGTTCTATGGTGTAAATAGGGAAATTGATATAATACTCAACATTTTGACTCTTATTCTTTTCTTTGTATCCTGGTAAATCTGAAGTATTGGATATGAAAAAATATTTTCCCCTAACTGCCTCTAAAATCGTAAAGCTACTACTGCAATTTATCTTGAGTCTGATTTACTGCTATGCCCTGAATAATCCCTGTCTTACAACACCCCTCCTTTCTTGCTAGAACCAGCAGGTGCTGAAAAGTATCTTATGCATGAGAATCTGTCATTTCAGCGATGGGTTCTCCTGCCCTGCAACAATCTTGGAGATTCCATGACTTCTAGGATTCTAGCTAAGATATGGCAGCACTAAGCAAGTGCCCTAGGGGCTGCATACTGCATGGGGCTGCATACTGCATGGGGCTGCATACTGCATGGGGCTTGCATGCTGCAAGTTCTGGTTCCCAGCTGGGGGGGGGGGGTTGCTTGACATAGATGGATTTTTAAGTGCCAACTAACCCAGGTGCACCTAATTGGCAGACATTTTTATGCAAAGTATGAGGGGAGATTTGCTAAACCTTCTTTCATACTGCTCTAATTTTGCATTTAAAAAAAGTAGAAGACAGACGTGTGACCATGCTTGCCTATGGAACTCTTCACACTGATCCATTGCAGGTCCGGTGCGTTTTGTTTTTTTTTTTTGTTTTTTTGTTTTTTTAAATCCTTCTTGCTGCATTTTTTAAATCCTTCTTGCTGCACCAAAAACTACCTTCCTATTTAAATCAATGGAAACAACACAACATGTTTTTTTTGTGCACTTTTGAGTCACATGTCCTGTAAAAAAGTGGTAAAAATGCATGTGTGATTTCCACACTGCATCGTGATCGCACCCCATTCATGTGAACCGCTGCGGGTGTGCATCTTAAGTTAACACCCTGAAATCAGTTTGCAAAACGCAGTGCGATGTGCATAATCTGATCACATGGGTGGGAATAGCCATGCAATCAGATTCTGGTGTAGATAAAAAAGGGTCCTGCACTATTTTGGTGCGGATGCGGTGCAATCTGAGCCATACAGAATGTATGGCTCAAATTCCATGCGATTTGCACAAGAATGCAGTGCAGTTCCTGTGCGAATCACATGCGACGTACCGCACCAGTGTGAATCCAGGCTTAAACCTGGAAACTGATTGGTTTCTATGCAGGCCTGCACCAGATTTTGCGCACACCAGTTTTAGTAAATAACCCCCATGGCTTTTCAGCAGCAGACCAAAGTACTGTGCAGAGGGGGTCCACAGGCCAAAGGGGTATGACCCACAAATCCGCATTTAACACGCAGAGGTTAGTGCAGTCACCTGCAGGGTCCACCACATACACGTGACATTTATTTGACACAGACTGAGAGACCGACATGATGGTATAATAGATATGGCTCGGTGACAGGTTCATTTTTATAACTGTAGGACCCCATTTTTTTTTTTTTTTTCCTTTTTTAAATTTCTTTCCACTACTTGATTTGCACAAAGGCATGTAAAACAGAAGGATTATTTTTATCCGTGCTCAGTCATTAATGCAAAATGTCCGGAGTGTCAGCAATTAGGGGAATTATATTGTCACTCATCGGAATCCATGGTAATGTCCGGTGATTGGTGTGTCTGGCGAGATTCTGTCCACTGGTACTCAGAAGTTATAATATCATGTTTCTTTCTTTCTTTGTCTGCTGAAAATTGCACACTGCTTGACCAACTAATTAACCGAAAGACTCTCCCAACCTGCAGAAAGAACTTCATGAAGCTGTACAGACCTCCTCATACACCACACATTTTTATCTTGGAAACCGGGCCAAAGCCATTTTTAAACCATTGCATTTATAATTACTTGTAAATCTTAATTTTTAATTTGCATCATCAAGAGATGGGATTTCAGATCAGGTTCCACTTTTTTAAATAATTGCAAGCGGCCAGTGTGTGCGTTTCCTTCTGACTGTCCAACCACTTCTGAACTGCAAGGCCATAACCTTTTAAAAAACTTTGTTCAAATTTAAAGTGGAAGAAAAACCAAACTAGAAGTTTCCTCTGCTCTCCTCCTATCTTTCCTAACCTAACCTATATAAAAAAGGTCTGTATACTTGCCCATTTTTAATCTGCTCCTGTGCTGTCACGTGATCTCATAGCTCCAGCTTCCCTGTGTCAGTCAGGGTATTGGAGGGAGGGCCAACAGCTGGGCCATGGGAACATATGGGTAACATCACAGCTCTTTACAGCCCTTGAGGAGTGCTCCATGACACAAAGTTGCATGATCACATGACTGGACCCGAGCAATTTGAAGATATGCAAGTTCACAGATTTATTTATTTATTTTTAATGCAGGTCAGGCTGCATAGATAGGAAGAGGGGTGATTGTGGGATAGCGGTGTGTGTTTTTTGTTTTTAAGATTAAGCGTAAACTGAGGCAAATCATATATATATATATATATATATATATATATATATATATATATATATATATATATATATATATATATATATATATAATGAAACTGCAGTGGACCTTTACCCCCCAATTTTTTTTTTTTCCCAGGGAGCAGGTAACTGTGGTGTTTTTTTTTTTGTTTTTTTTTTACCGGTACCTGCTTCTATTTCCTCAATTCTTGCAGGTGAGCACAAAAATGGGTGAATTGTCATGCATTGGGGGCTCCTACATCCCTATTTATAATTACAAAAATGATTGTCTCCCAAGGGACTCTATTGCAGCCATACACTTAAACATTAAATGTATAACAAGGATTTTGGTACAAGTTCCATTAAAAACCATCAAAATAAAAAATATTTTTATGGAATTATTTGTGGTCAATTGTTTCCCTTATCCCTTTACAGCTGGGGGTTGTGATTCCCATTTGGTTTTGAGTGGCAATGTTGGCTAATTGGGGGTTCCTTGGAGTACAGCCATGCAACCTCTGTGGTCCTCCAAGTTGATGTTGAGCAACCTTTTTATATGTTCTCTGGCAATTCAAGTGAGTGTTACAAATGAAATGTGAAATAGAACAAGATAAGTATGATTGATTTTGACATCCTACTGTTTTGGTCTCTTTTTTTTTACTATTTTTTAATATGGTACTGCCATATTTGCCTGATGAAGATTATACAATATCTCATAGAAGTGAGTCCACCCCTCACATTTTAGTAAATATTTTATATCTTTTGATGTGACAACACTGAAGAAATGACACTTTGCTACTATGTAAAGTAGTGAGTGTACAGCTTTTTATAACAGTGTAAATTTGCTGTCCCCCTCAAAATAACTCAACACACAGCCATTAATGTCTAAACCGCTGGCAAGAAAAGTGAGTACACCCCTAAGTGACAATGTCCAAATTGGGCCCAATTAGCCATTTTTTCCCTCCCCGGTGTCATGTGACTCCTCAGTGTTATAAGGTCTCAGGTATGAATGGGGAGCAGGTGTGTTAAATTTGGTGTTATCGCTCTCACTCTCCCATACTGGTCACTGGA